TATAGCAAAACAACTTTTTCAATCCCTGCAGCCTCACGAATTGAAACTTTTGTTTTCTATAATTAACATTGCTAACTTGCAACACTAACAATAATTATCATGCTCCCACTAACATGATGATTATTAGCATAACACTTATGCTCCCACTAGCTTTGACATGTACTCAGAAATCAGCTGGACTTCTAGAAATCAATACTTTATTGACTTTCTTACCAAAGTTCAGATTTCTGATACGAGATGCTTTGATAAAACTTTATCAAAATCATACACCTTTCCTTAGATAGCATGCATGTGTGTCTAAACAATTTCAGAACTATGAAAAGGGATGCCGTAATCATAGTCTCAATTGTTTAGACCTTTTGCCATCTGCTTCAAATCTACTTGGTGGAAGTGTTTCCTCACCATCATTTTCATGAATCGGAGAGAAACCTTATGACCCTTAGATTTGATGGTGTATGTGTTCTTATCCATGTGAATCGTCAAAACCATAGTCACAAGACAAGGATAATGACAACTCCAAACTCATATGGATTGAACTTATGTAATCTTAACTTCTTGCCACCTGGCGGTACAGGGCCTGCCATTGCTTCCAAGTTGTTATGCAACCAATTGAGAACTTTCAGAACTCCTATGCAAAGCCAACTTTAACTGGAATGGGCACAGAATATGTCAACACGATAGGTTATAAACCTCAAGTCGTGTGCTAGTGAAGAACCTCAGGTTTTATTCTTGATTAGTTCTTGAAATTCTTTTTAGGATCTTTAAGACTCCCACTATCCTCTTGACATATAAAACTATCTTGCCAAATATTCAAGAGATAGTGCGGATTCTTTATCAAGACAAACACTTCACACAATTGGCCTTAGTTGGTCTTTGTTTTATCCAAAACATCATAACTTACCAATTTCAAATGTACAAGAGTAGGACACTTTTACTCTTACATTTGACAAGTGTTTTAAACCTTTCTTTAAGATATGTCACTCAAGTTACAATCTTGGAGTATGACTCTAAGAATTGTTTTGGAACGAAGTATGACTCATCTTCCTGATCTAACCATTTCAATAATTCATGACTCCTCTTCTTAGTCATAAGAATGCACTAAGATGACCTTTAGAGGACTAATTGTGATATGATTTCTAAATCATTAAGATGATCACAAACATGATACTAAAGTACTCTCCCATCTTTTCAGATTTGAGAAACTTTTATCTTTCTGCTTAATTTGATTCTTCCCATTCGTTCTGCCATACATTGAGAGTTTTCCAATGTTTCAGAATTATACTTAAACTTGTAAGTATAACCATATTTACTAAACTTTAGTAAATCAAATAGTCTTAACGAGCTTTGTGGTGGACATGACATGTGCACAAGAATGTGTACTCGATCCCTTTAGTCCTTCACTTGACTCACACATCCAAGTGAACAAGTAATTAGTCTTGATTTTCCAATGCTTGAAAGTTCTCATTCATCATACTATTCAACTTGCATGATTCCAAGTTTCGGTCCAATTGAAACTTGGGCGATGAGAAACTTTCCTGATTTGGTAAATTTAGACACTACCACAAATGAAAGAATCAAATCCATTTTCCAATATTGCTGTCAGTGGAATCATATAAGCAACAATTTTCCACAAATGTCATTGTAAGGATACTTCAAATAAATAAAATTAAACAATTTTCTTTTATTTTAAAACTTTGCGGAAAAACTTATCCTTACAATCCACATGGAAAATTGTTGTTATCTATTCCTTAGCAATATATCATAACTTCTTAAGCAACTGCTCAAAATTCTGATGCGATCGAAATCCACCTTCGCGATCAGAATCAACATATACTTCCTTTAAGATTTCTCTCTATTCTTTGATTCTTAAAACATCAACATGTGACCCAGTCACATCATGTAATGAGGATCTCAGAATAGAACTTAACAGAGTTAGATAATGGGCTCTACCTGATGTAGAGTCAAACTTATTGACTTTAACATCCTTAGGTAAATTTGGCAGCTTTGCAATCAACGCCCCTCCCTTTGGCAAAATAAACATATGGACCCTTTGGTAATGGGACTATCTCAGACTTAGCCTTTCTCTTTACCATTTGGTCAACCGGGTTGACTATGGCCAATCCCTTTCCATTGGGAAGAGAATGCTTTTTCTGGATTTCCAGTGTCACCATTGTCACTGTCCATAAAGTTTTTGGGAAGTTGATCTTCTAATCAAATTTGCTTTACTATCGTTCCAAATCATTGCTGATTCAGCAGCACCAAGCAAATAGATATGATCATTAAGGTTCATGTCATAGTCTGTTTCATAGTAGTCCCAAAGGAACTCACTATGTGACTTAGAAAGTGATTGAACATCCAACTTTCTCAAGACTTTGACACCCAACTCTCCCGGCTTGTCAACATGTGACTTCATCTCTAAGATGTGATCACACATAGACCTTGCTTGCCATTAGGGCTTGAGTGACCTTGAACTTGTGGGTTAGGGAGAATAATTGGAGGAGGTGGAGAGAGAGAAGTATGACTTCCATGAGCCAAACTCGGGAAGTCATATTCATTAGGAAAGCTTGGTTTGGGAAGATCATTGTTGTCTAAACCAGACATCAACAATGGGAGAAATTCACGTAAAGTTGATTTAAGTCCTTAATATAACACCCAATATGATATATTAAGGCTAGGACCCAACAAACTATTTTATAACTTGGAAGAGGGATGTCGTAATCCAAGCTATAAAATATTTGAAGGTAGGTGAATGACGATTCACCAATTTCCACCAAGATAAACGAAATGTATTATTAGGTTTTAATTGGTTTTGAAACTCCTAGATTCTTTTGAGATTCATTGAACTTTTCAATGGCATGTTTCAATCTCGAGTGTTCCCTTCAAGTTTTGTGACTGGGATGCCGAGGATCACAAAACAAGGTGTGAAGTAACCATGCAAATATACTTGGTACCCTTAATATTTACCCCTCAATCGATGTGTCCGGTTAACCACACACGCTCCAACGATACTATGATAAACATTAAGTTACCCTTTGCCTACCTTGTTAAGTCCAGGTTAGTGTGTCCGGTTAACCACACACGCTCCACTAACAGCTTAAACAAAGTGCAAAGTGTAATTTCATGGATTAGCACCTTATTCACATTTTCCTAAGTAACTAAGATTGGGAATTTATAAGTGTTTAGTTACTTAGTATTTATCATTATACTTATAATGAAGGGAGAATTATAGTCCTTGTCCTACCTGTTCGGCTAACGACCCTCCACCGGTCAAGGAAGCGGTGAGTGAGAGTGGACACCCATTAAACTGCCATTTTATAGGCAGTAACCTTATACCCCCTTATAGACCGGCTTCGTGAATGAGGCCTACTAATGGTAAGACGACTTGCTCTTATACATATAATATATTAAACTTTTAATATTATAATAGTATAAGGGTGTATTTTAGACATTTAAAATACTTGGTGGTTTAATCTATTAATTAAACTAGACTTTTAATTTAATTAAACTCAAACCATATATTTATGGATTAATAATACTCTTTTAATTAAACGCTTTAATTAACTATTAATAAAGTCTATAAGAGTTAATTTGAACTATTCAACAAAACATCATAATTCCAATTATTAAACTCAAAATTAAAACCATTTAATTAATTGTTTAAGTTATGAACCCAAGAGTTTTAGAATTCAATTCTTTTTTTCATAAAAAACTTTTCTCAAATTCCAAAACTTGAGGGCAAGTTTTGTAATTCTTGAAAACCTTTGGATTCCATAACTTATGGAATTAATGGTGTTTTATGATGAAACTTTCCATGTTCCATAACTTAAGAACAAGTTATGGAATTCTTTAAAACATTAACACCAAATTTTGTAACTCCATAAAAACTTTGAATCAAATTTTTTTTTTAAAAAAAATTTCATATCCATAACTCATGGAAGTTTCAAAAACCCTTAAGATCACAACTTTAAAAAAACTTTTGAGCTCCAAAATTTTATGACAAAATTTGTAACTCCTTAAAACATTTAGATCAAACTTTTAAAACTAATAAAATAATCATATCATTTTATCTTTTACTAAATTTGACCTAATTCAACTCATATAACAAATGATTCAAATTTTACAAATAATTCGTTTTTCACAAAACAAGTAATCATCTTAAAATTTGACAAACGTCATGTTTTTTTTTCCTTTTTTTTTCAACTTGAAAATAAAACATTTGCATCAATAAAACAGAAAACAACCCATGGCTCTGATACCACTGTTGGGTTTTGAGCATTCTAACACTCCTATGGTGTACATGCAACCCTATAAACCTTGGATCTATGTTTTCTCTATTATACATGCAAATATTAACTATTCCAAGGTTTCATCATAACTAGCATATTATGAAGCACCTATACTACAAAGTTCTAGTTAGATGACATACCTTTTGATGTAGCTTGATGTCTTCAAGCTTTAAGAGCTTAGCCCCAATAGTGTGGAAGCCTCAAATGGAATCACAAATCACCAAAACACCTTGGAAGAACTTGAGAGAATATGTATGCACACTAAAATCGGCCCACTCTTATTTTCACACACTTGTGCCAATTTTGTGAGCGAAGGACCCCTTTATATATTATGGAGGATTAGGGTTACATCCATGTAAACCCTAATACCCATGACCTTTCATTCACATAGGATCCATGGGTTAAAAGCTCCATGGACCATCCATGAAAGCTTAGCCCAACCTAAATGAACTTGGCCCATTCCATATATATAAGAGTCCATATTTAATTAGTTCTTTTTGATCACTTAATTAATTCTAAATTAATTCTTGATCAATACTAATTAAATAATATGATTCCATATTAATATATTAGAACTTATAACATATTAATATAAATCCTAAATATACTATTCTCAAAAGACTATCCATATAAATTGTGCCGGTGAAGTGCAACCCAAATGGACAATGCCGGGTCGGGTCAAGTACATACCAAATATAGTTATGGACTTAGACATTAATCCAACACTTTGATTGCTCTAACAAGATCCTCTTTATCCTTGATAGAATCTTTTTCCAACTCTCGCATAAAATCATTCTTACTTGTTGATTGTGTCATAATCCAATTTTCATCAATAGTCAAATTTGTTCCTTCCATATTAGTAAAAGTTGAAGGTAATTCAACATTATTGTCAAAAGATGCTTCCTCATCATCTTCATCTCCAATTCCATCTTCCAATATTTTATTTAACTCAACATCATTGTCTATATTCATCACATTAGTCACAACAGCAGCTTGAGAAATTATAGAAAATATCTCATTGTCAATCATGTCTATAATAGAATTCATCTACAAACAAACAAAAACAAGCAAAAACTGATCAAAAAATGATCATACGAACTTGTGATAACAAGAAAAAAGAAACATAATGAAATGTTTGCAATCAATTCCATCAAAGATTAAAAAAAAAACAAGCTGTGATTTTCCATCTACAAAAGCAAATAATCAAAAACAGAAATTGATCAACAATTCGTCCTAACTAGAAGCAAAATCGATAAAAATAAGAATAGAGAAGCAAAAAGCAAACAGAAACTTAAGAATCGGAATCCATAAGCAAACATAAAACTTAAGAATCAAAATCAAAATCGATAACTTTGCATAGCTTGCAGGTCGTCGGCGACGATGGAGGAGGCGCAGGCGGCCGACGATGGTGGACGTGCGACAACAGAACGACAAGTTTGAGCCCTAGTTGCATTTACGATTTTTTTTCTTTTCTGTTCTCGTTCCAACGTTCCAGGGGAAACTCAAAAACGTGTTTTTCTTTTTTTAAAAACAATAATATTAGTTTTGAAATTAAAGTAATACCATTTTGGTAAATATTTTTGCAAGGACACTAATATGGTAAATATTTTTTCCAATAACTCTATTATGGTTACAAACTCTAAAAGAGAGGGTATGCTTGGTAATTATTAGGACTTATTATGAAGGGAATTATGGAAGCAAGGGCTAAAAGGTAAATTTTGGGCTTAGTTTGAAAACAAATCTTATGAAGAGGGACTGAAGTTGGAAAATGGGGCACAAGTTTGGAAGGAACACGGGATGTACCCGATATCCTTTTTCCCTCCCGTTCTCATGTTTCAACCCTAACCCTATCATGTTCTATGTAGCCACCACCACCAGGAGAGCCCTCCCAGCCGCCGCCTCTTTTTCCGTTCGTTGTTCCGATCAAACCAAGCCGCCCAGCGGCCACCTTGCCATCGAAGCACCACCACCGAAACTTGTTATCGGAAACGTTGTGGCAGCCAGATGAATCACCGAGACCAATTGTTGATTTGCTAGAGTAGTGTACGTCACTGTGCGGTTCGTGAACGAAAAGGGAGCCCTCGGTAAGGAAAAATCGCCACCCCATTTATCCCTTTTTCTTCGTTCTTTCGGTGGTTGATGTCGGGTGTGTCGGTTGTGGCTGTCGCCGCCCGTTGGTCGTCATATCTGTTGTATTCCGGCGACGTCAGCCGTTTGGGAGGTGGCCGGACATTATGTGTTTGAGTATTTACACGATGTTATGGTGTTCTGTGGAGTTGTTTGCGTATTATCTAGCCGGAAAAACAAGGGAGAGCCCACCACCACCACCACCACCGTGAGGTGGTGGCTGCCACCCATTGCCGTTTTCTGCCACCCCTTTGCCGCCACCAGCCACCGTAGGAGGTGGCTGTGTGTGCGTGTATATTATGTGTGAAGTTGTTTATGCAATTTTTGGGCAGGAACCACCACCACCACCATCAGAAATGGTGGCTGCCGCCGCCTGTCGCCGTGAGCCGCCGCCGATAATCACTGCCCGAGGTGGCAGTGGGTGGTGCCCGGCCTAGTGGAACCCTAATGGACCTAAAAACTTAATCTTGGACTTAGCTGGCTCGTAATTGGGTTAGAAAACCTAATTATGGTTTAGAAAACCCTAATTTTATGTTTGTTGGTTTGGACCTATCGGGATCTGCGTTATGGGCAATTTGAATTAAAGTATGAATTACACCCGATCACACCGTATGACTTATCTAGTAGAGTGATGGACTTAATGGATTAAGTCCTTAATGGGCTAAGTAAGAAACACTTAACCCTAATCGTCATTTCATGTGAAAACCCTAATTGTGTTGGGTTTGAGTTGGGCCTTTTCTGTTGGGCCTAGATGTTTGGACTATTGATGGGCCGTCCAAGAACAAGTATATGGACTAGAATATTTGGATTGGGCTTTAGGATAAGGCCCATTGGACAGGCGTGGGCCCAATTGGGAAAAATTGGGCCATAGATGGGCCATAACTGGGCCTTGATGATTATGAGATATTGAACCATTGGATTGCCAAGTGTTTGGACCAGAATAAATGGTTGGGCCTTAAGGTAAGACCATGTAGGGGTTTGGGCTCAATTTGGAAAATCGGGCCATATGTTGGGCTTTGATTCATTATTAGACTTTTGGGCCTTTGGATTAGGCCTTGGGTTTGAATCAAGCTAAGTTAAGGGTAAAGTAGTCTTTTACCCCAAGCATGGACTTATGGATGTGTGTTGGGTCCCAATTATTAACTGGGTGTTATTTTGATGTTGACAGATTCGGGAATCTGTCATCCAGCAGCTAGGGTTTTGTCTGCGGGACTTCATCAGTGTGAGGTGAGTCCTCTTCCAGTAGGAACGGGTCTAAGGCACCAATGTCGGCCCGTGTAGTTTATATGTTTTTGATAGGAACACGGAGTGTGGGCGGGGCCTGTATCTCATTATTACTAGAGTATAGATATAAATCAGATTGTTGGATTGCTATACTTCTTATCTGTGTGATACTTGTATGTGGTTGTTTATGTATGTGAGTGTGGGCGGCGCCCGTATCTCATTATTATTCGGGTGTGGGCGGGGCCCGAATCTCATAGTAGCCGAGTGTGGGCGGGGCCTGAATCTCGTAGTATTATTTGAGTATAGATATGTGACTGTTTGATAGGAATATATATAATTGTTGTATGTGTGATATTTGTATGCATGTTAGTGGCGGAGTGTGGGCGGGGCCTGAATCTCCTAGACAGCGGAGTGTGGGCGGGGCCCGAATCTCCTAGACAGCGGAGTGTGGGCGGGGCCTGAATCTCCATGAGAGTGGGTGGGGCCCGTATATCCTAGTTGCATGTTATATGTATGGTATGCGGTAGTTTGGGGAGACTCACTAAGCTTCGTGCTTACAGTTTTCAGTTTTAGTTTCAGGTACCTCGGTTTTCAAAAGAGGAGCTTGGGATGATTGCAGTGCACACACCATTTGTTTAGCCTGGGATGTTTTCACTCTGATATATGTTAGTATGAGTTTTGATGTGAAACCCGATTTGATACTATGATTTATGTTTTGTTATGAAACGGGTTTGATAGTTATGGTTATTTAATAATAAAAAAATGAAATTTTTGGACTGTATTTTTGGGATGTTTCGGAGTTGCTCCTCTCCAACTCGTCGAGTTGGTCTTAAAATTCGTGTGCCCAATTTATTTCCTTAATCGGTCTTCTAGATTCCGGGTGTTACAGAAAAAGTCGCATAGTCCGACGTTTCTACCGCCGTCTGGGGGTGTGACATTTAGTGGGCTTGAAAGCAACATGTGCGTTGAGGGTAGCAAAAAAGGAGAAACCCGTCAATTGTGGGCTATTTGCGATGGATCTAGGGCTTAGTGTAGGAAACAATAACGATGTGGAGGGTGTGAGGATGAAGGCATTGTATAGGGGAGTTTGGTGAGGTGTTTAATTATGACCAAAATGTCATGTGGACTCTCGAGCAATGGACCCCTTCATTTTGGGATATTCTCCTTTTTAACCTATAATCTAAAATTTGAAGCACATAGAATACAAAAAAAAAAAAAAAAAAGATTGGGAAAAATTTGTAGGGCTAGATTAATGAGTTTTCATGTTACATCAAATGTTGCGGTTTGACTTCTATAGAAACTTTTAAAATCATAATTGACAGATGATAATAAATCGAAACTAAACTAAAATTTCTATTGTTCATATAGACAATATTCTAAACAAAATATAGAAGAAGACAACTAGAAGTTTATTCGGCTGAAAAGTCAAAGTTGGAACGGTAAACTTGAGAAAAACTATCAGGACAGCCTGTGTTACTGGGCTGGTTCGGCTCTTGCCAAATATGGAGAGGATTGTAACGCAATATCGTTTCACAAAATGCAGAAAATCAGAGAAGCTAATTTACATGTCTTGAAAACATGGAAAGATGGCTACATCTAATCTCATCCCATCAAGGATTTCTATTAAAATAATTTTGATACCCAAGTCATTTACCATTCAAGATTGGTTGATTTTTTCCAAGGATCTTTTACTAAAAATGCAAAAACTACCGAACATTGACAAAAATCAGAAAAAATAATAATAATAATAATGCAACCATTCTTTTTTACTCAGATCCTATTATATTTTTTATATCACATTCAAGAATCAAATTATAGATCTTATATTTTTTATATCACATTCAAGAATCAAATTATAGATATTATATCGTACTGACATATCTATAAAACACACAAGAAAGAGAAACAAAAGAAACAAGCAAGAAGAAGAAAACCAAAAATGACATTTTCACAAAGGGTGACCACTCAAAATGCAGCACCAAAAATAATAAAGATTATACAATAGAAGAACCTCAGCAACAGGGAAGCAACATAGGAAGCGAACCATGCAGACGCTATTGCTCTTTTTTCTAGTAGTAGTTGAAGCATCAAAGAAGCACCAAAAAAATACGAGTTGACTCAGAAACTTGACCCAGCCTCATAACTTTTCATCATTGACGCCAAAGCTTGAGGATAGAGCTTTAAACATACTTTAAGAATCAATCATTAGAGTAAACATGTGTTCCAGATCTTCATCATCAAAACTTAGCTTTAGCTTAATGATATAGACTTGTTATATATATGTAAAGAGAAATTTAAAATCCAAACTCTTTTGGAAGCTTTGCCAAAATGCGCCTTTTATTGGTTAAGTGAACTACTTACGCTACACTTTTCATATCTAAAAGAGATCTCCGAGTTAATCAATCAGCATCATTTTTTGTATTAATTCGTTCACATTTTAACCAAAATACTACTATTAGAAAACAGAGAACTAGCAACATTTCTTGAAAAGAACTAATCCTATCAGCAATACGATTCACCCAAATGTCTCAACGGACAACCAATAAAGCACCAGAAATGCACACAAGAGAAAGGAAGTAGTAACATACAACGCACACACAAACACACATACACACACGCACACCATCAGATTTTCAGGGTAGCCCAACGATAAGCAGCTGTTAACGGAGGTTTCAGTAACATCCCCACAAAGACGGCTATAGTGGTACCAGCAAGCACAAACCATATAATCAGGGCCCCTGTCACTAACCGGTTTATGAAGATCCAGCCGGCTTTCAACTCATCATGGTCCGGCGTCGTAGCCTCCATTGCCATCTTATAACTGTATGTGGTGGCCGTAATCGTAGCAAACATGGATGCCGTCAGAAGCAATGAGAAGATTCTTCGTTTCAAGGATAAACCCGAAAGAAACAGAAACATGGTGGTCATTGAAAAAGTGAAGGAAATGGTGTTAGCAAAGGAGAATCGTCTATACTCGTTTGGAGAAACATATGCAGCGATTGCTTGTCCAGCTTCGTATTTCATCGTTCCGTTTGGATGGTTAATTGTATCTTGGTATGAGCCACCAGGTGGGCTGATAGCCGCCTGGTAATTCATGGCGGCGATCACTGATGCTGCTACCAAAAGTGCGTCGGCCTTCCTTTCTGCCATGGGATCGTCTATCTCCTTGATAAAGTAATCGAGTACCATGCGGAAGCATCTTGCAGCTGTTGTTAGCGACGAATGCTGACGTTGTGGCGGTGGTGGTGGAACCATCGGAGCTACTGGTGTCTGTTCAAGGTGCATGAAGTATATATATAATTCCCAAATAATTATATATAGTCACGTTTTTACTGTCGACTTTAATTCTTGGACCCTAGACCAATTCTTTATGTTCGAAGAGATCTGCTTTAAATGTAGCTTATACAACAATATTTTTCTGTTTGTGTTGCCCTTAAATTTGATTTCTTAATGGCATCCACTTTTACCGGTACTTCGATATCTTCTAATATCTTGTAGGTGACTTTTACTTTCCTACACCATCTTTTAGAGTAAATTACACAAATAGTCCCTATGGTTTGGGGTAATTTGCGTGTTTGGTCCCTAACTTATTTTTTTAACTCGGAAGGTCCCTACTATTTGTTTTTGTTACGCGCTTGGTCTTTACTGTTTGTTTTTTGTTACGCGTTTGGTCCCTATCTTACCCAAAAAGACTATTATTTAAATAGGAAAAAATGGTGGGGTAGGTAAGATAAGGTGAGGGGAAGGAGTTGGGGGTGTGTTTATTTAAATAAATTAAAAAATCAAGGGAAAAATAGTCTTTTTAGTTAAGACAGGGACCAAGCGCGTAACAAAAACAAACAGTAGGGACCTTCCGAGTTAAAAAAATAAGTTAGGGACCAAACGCGCAGATTACCCTAAACCATAGGGACCATTCGTGTAACTTACTCCATCTTTTATTCTTCTTCTTATTATTATTATTATTATTATTATTATTATTATTATTATTTAGAATGACTAACACAAGCACTCATTATCCTATTACTAAGATATTGTTTGTTTTTTGTCTGCAGATCTTTTTGGCATCTTCTGTCTACGTCGCCCAGAGCACGCGCAGACATTAGCTTTTACAGACTGTTTGTTTTTTTGAAGAGTGTAGACCTAAAAATATATGTGTGCCCTCTTCTTGGCGCAGATTTGGACCAGAGTCTTCTAGTATATTCAGACATCTTCTAGCTTAAAAAACTCATATATCTTTATTTGTTTTAGTTTTTTTTAATTTATATCTATTCCAACTTTATTAATGATAAACAATTTGAAAAAAAAGTTACAATACTTAAGAAAAAGGTTTGACGACACAAACATGATATTTTTGACAAATTGATAAATAAAGATTTATTACAATAACGGTCGTTGAAGTTGTTTATATAAATATGAAAAAAAATCATAATATATATTCTTATATTTTTTTGTGCCAAATTTTATAAAACATTATTTAATATAGTATCGTCAATTTTTGAGAAAATATTTATGTTACGTTTTTAATTGATTTAATTGAAAAAATCGAAGTTTATTTTCATCCATTTATGTATCAAATTCTTTGATTCCTAATTACAATGTTTAGTTATAACTTTGTGACCAAAATTGTTGGTTTTTATCAAATATATACGTTAATTCATATCATTTTTATTTTCACTTTTTATACAATAATACATAAAAGTTGATCTACATTTGTCAATTATTTATAACAAAGTCATAAAAATATTAAAAAAGAAAAACACTTTGAAGTTAAAAAAAATCAGTTTATTTAGATTTTAGTTTATTTTAGTAGCCTACATATGTTAAAAAAATAGTCTTCTTTTTTCAGACTGCAGACGTTTGGTCCACCTTTTCTACAGCAGAGGTCTACAGATGTGATCCACAGACTGCAGACATTTTGTCTCAGAAAAAACACACAACAACTAAATCTACACCTTTTGTTTCTAGCGAAACTAGAACTCTCAACATTTGGCTGAGGGACACCTTTCCGTTAACTCCTAATACTGTTAGGCTATAAACCATTTGGTACTTTCCTACACCATCTAATTAGATAATTACAATATACTTTAATTACTTTTACTATTACTTCCACATTTGGTAGATAACTTACTTTCTTACACCATCTAATTAGATAATTATTGTTAGTGTATCCCACATCGATGTGACACAGTCTTATAAGTGGCTATATATGTTAGAGTCTCTTTACTCTCCACAAATGGCTTTTTTGGAGAGTTAATATGAGGCTCCATAAATATTTACAATTACGACATACTTTAATTAAAACTTCCAATTATAGCAATTCAAGTCATTCTTTACTTTGACTACTCTAGATCCGATTGGAGCTATTTAAAGGTTAATTATGTGTATTTAATCAATAAGGCTTCACGGACTGGACTTGGTTTCACTTATACTTTAATTAAAACTTCCAATTATAGCAATTCAAGTCATTATTTACTTGGACAACTCTAGATCCGATTGGAGCTATTTAAAGGTTAATTATGTGTATTTAATCAATAAGGCTTCACGGACTGGACTTGGTTTCACTCAAAAAAACAACCGACGTGGGCTTGGTGAACATCGGGCCACATACTCGGCATGTTGAGTTCGCTGCGACAAATTAGTGGGAAGTAGCCGATGAGAGGGAGAGAAAGGTATTTGAATTATTTGATTTTTTGACCAATTTTGTTATCGTTTTTTTTTTAAAAAAAATCAAATTTTAGTCTCTTTTTAACCCTATATAAATAATACTCACTGCCACATTTCATACCACATTACCTTCTTCAATTTTTCACTCAGAAACACTTACTTTTGTAAAAAATAGTTTCCCCTTCCAACTCAAGAGCTCCAAAAAATACCTAAAAAAATACCCAAAACACAAACCTAATCTCACATTCATCTCATACTTTCATCCAAAGTCAAAGTGATCGGCCTATCTATTCACCTCCTAATTTCCACTATGGCGGTGCTTACTACCCATATCATGTCCAAAACCAACTACAAATCCAAAACCAACCATAATTCTAAAATCAACCACAATTCCAAAACCAACCCCAAATGAACTTCTCATCTCAAATTCAATCGCATTTCCCCGACCCGCCAATCCAAACTCAAACCCAATTCCAAACTTAATCACAACCCGAAGTCGTACCTGAAACGGATTCGGAGCCGGAAGCAATTCGACCACAACCCTAGAAAACAGGAAAGGCAGCTCCGCATCCATGGACTATGGAGGAAGAAACAACATTGGCTCATGCGTGCGTAGATGTTTCTAAAGATCCGAAGGTTGAAAAAACCAAGACTCGCCCACCTTTTTCCGAAAAATTATTAGGCTTTTTCTCTCGAAAATGAATCGTGGAGACTACAAGAAAAAGGATCAAATTTACTCAAAGTGGAGAAATGTCAACAAATTTGTGTTGGAGTTTAATGCATTGTTTTCGACTGTGAAACAACAATGAAAAAGTGGTGCAAACAACAAATCAATTTTGCAAAAGCTCTAGCACTTTTTCAGAGTAAAAAAATGACAACTTTCAAATTTCTTTATGTGTGGAAGATGTCAAAAAAGTGGTAAGATATCGAATGTTTGAAAACGTTCACGAATGGTTCTTCTGAAAGAACCAAAACTTCTTAAACAACTCATAGTCAATCGTCAGATGCGCATGGCAGGATTAGCCTCAATGAAGAGGAATCTTTTGAGGTTCCAAGAGCTACTTGTCCCATGGGAAGAAACAAAGTGAAACAAAAGGGAAAAACAATGACAAGTGGTTCAGGTGACATCGAGCATCTAACAACCAAAATTGACAACTTGAAGTCGACATTGGACCAATACTTGGTGGTCGCAAAAGAGAAAGAAAAAACCGTGTCATGCCGATCTTGAGAAAAACACTAGCAATCTTACGGGATGCAAAAAAGAAATGGTGTTAAAAGTTGTGACATCACCCATTTTTCAAAACCAATTAAAACATTTTTCTTTACGCTTTATAAAATTGAGATGGGGAAATTCCTAGTTAATCAAAACATTTGTGAGATAACAAAAGTTATTTCATTTATTTAAAAACTTTGAGGATGTCATCGTTCATATCCAAACATATATTACAACGTAAAACATAAAAGGACCTAAACTACTTATTACAAGCACATCTCTTTATTCCACTCAGCAAACTAACTAGACTTCGACAACCTTACATCCACTACCTGTGATGCATAAAATGAGTGGGCTAGGTTTGGGAAAACCTGGTGAGATGCATAGGGTTTTCAAGCCCATAATAAGTTAATGATAATAAGTAATATCATTCCTACAAACATATATGTCAAATTATATATATAAAATCCGACCTAAGACCAACTACCCAACCCAACCGATCCTCACAGATCCTAAAGAAACGATTATTTGTGGGAATCACCAAACCTGATGAATCGTCTGAGCAATTGTTTGACTACACCGCTAGGGGAGTCCTTGGCCAGTGTAAGCCATATAAAGGCAACCAATGTTCAAAGATTTGATGAATATGGTATCCCATTCTATCTACGCCCATGGGTTATAAGTCCATGCTAGCAGCGTAATTCACTAGAATGCGTAGAATAGTCAAGTGTTGTCATCTACACTGGTCGATGACATACTTGCCAGTTGTCTGATCTGGACCCACCATTTCTGGTCATCCAATAAGGAGGGGGACTTAACTCCGTTCTGATCTCACATTCTATCCTAACTATGATACCTAATTGATATCAAGCTTAAGTTGAACTAAGAACCCTTTACAAGTCTTATTGTTAAACCTAAGGCGAGACTTATAACTAAAGGTAATCGATTCCCAATACAGTTTCTAATCCAATTATCATATTTATAGGAATAGCACATAGCATAGATAATACAGGTAAACATTTAATATTACTTAATAGTATTAATAATTTTTAGATTAGGATTATGTTCTCGATAATAACTACACACTCACCTGGCAGAGTGTTCGGTGATTGGTGAATTGGGAAGAGCTTCGCCTTACACTTTTTCCAAAAGACCTAGATGTATATAACGCTAAGTCTTAGTCTAATTTCATACTTCATGGAACTATTAACCCATGGGTTTAGATTCCTCAACAATCCCAAATTCTACTTCAAGATCTATCAAGTAAGGATCAGCCAGGCAGGACAGTCGGGGAACAGGACCATTTCGACACATCACCTTTCAGAAATCCAACAACCAAGCCGACGAGACAATTCTTGGCACCTCTTCCGTAAGTAGATAAATCAGTATAACGACTTGGAATTACTGA